GACACCCATGATTTTGTCCTCGTAAGATGTATTAATTTTACAAAAATGACTAATAAGAGGTCCCTTGCATGCACTTTAACCAATAGTCTTTAGTTTTTTAATGTGTTGGTGTTAATTGTATCTTTGGGAAAAAAACACTCACTCCTTTTTCAGCTCGTTTTCCTTTTGCAAAATGACTCCTGCATTGCGATGCGTGTGTGGACTTGAGTGCATGACGTCAACCAACATAGAGAGCTTTAAAAGAGAGGGGTATATCAAACTAAGCAAGGCTTGACAAAAGCAGATTGTAATTTTTGTTTATCAGGAACGTGTCCTTGCAATCTTATAATTCTTCGTATAGAAATGTAAGATTGTAATGAGCACGAACCTAAGATGTTATCGCTTGCTGCTTCCATTTGACAGCGCGTTGATCTTCTTCAGTTGATGCTGAATGCTCACAATGACCCCGAGGTTGATCAGGAAGACACGCCCTCTTCAGACAAAGCCAAGGGAAAGGGCGTGGTCCAACGCAAGCTCCTGTCGACAGAGGATGTCATGGCGCAGGTGAATTTGTAGTAGGTTTTTTAATTGCGCATCGGAAACTTTGAGAAGCGAGATAGCCTATATGCCTATCGGTCATCGAAGGAGAATGCTGTCTGTATTTATCGAGGGGTTTGGGGTTTGCCTACAATTAGTTAATGGAGATTTTATAGAACTTTTAACGAAACTAAATGGGTTTTTTTCACTGCCCGCAAACGATTTCTTTGAGCTATTCCATGCACACTACCAACGTTACTGAGGAAAGCTTTGCTAAACCATCACAGTTTACCAGACATAGTCTAGTGTGACACAGTTTCCCCATCACTGGTTCCCGGCCGGAGTTTGCTTGGCACGTAAATACGATGGCTCCCTCAATGGCATTCGGGCACAGAACACGTTGCAACGCTTTAATTGTCAAAGAATGCATTGCACTATTTTGTTTCTTGTCCTCATCAGTCGCTCACGTTTTTCCTGGCTGGTTACGAGACCACCAACACGCTGCTGGGCTTCACCGCCTACCTGCTGGCTACCAACCAAGACACGCAAGAGAAACTGCACGCTGAGATTGACAACCTCGCTCCCACACGTGACAACCTCGGTTATGACGTCATCAGCAAGATGGAGTACCTGGACATGGTGATCAATGAATCACTGCGCATGTATCCCCCAGCAGTCATGTAAGAAACACTTTACACTCCACTTGGATTGAAGGACTACTTTTCTAATGGGAATCTTAACTTTCTAGGTATACATCCGCAGTTAAGAGATAAACACCATAGGCGTAACCAGCGGGGGGGGGGGGGGGGGGGGGGGGGTAAGTGTGGTATTTTTAACCCCCCCCCCCCCCCAATATTTTGTAAAGACTGCCTTGTTCCATTCATATGCCTTTTTTGAACGGGCTAACCCCCCAATAATTTGTACATCTGTCTACATTTCACAACGGATGTACAAGTGCCCTTTTTAAAAAAAATTCCTCCCCCCCCAATAAAAATGACTGTGATACGCCCCTGAACACGAAATGATTGTCCTGGTCTTTTGTCTAGACCAGGACAATTTCACTTTTTCTTTTAAATAGATTTTTAATTTTTGTCCGAAGATATAAAATAAAATAAATAAAAATTAATATGAAACAGGCGGTAACTCCGGGTTGAACAATGCATTTAATATTTTCCGACGTTCAATATAATCATTTACAGATTTGAAACATACTTATATGAGAATTCGGCTGCCCGCCTATTTGTTTATATTTGTCTATGAAGTGCTTCCCTTTGTGTAGGTTTGATCGTGCGTGCAATGATACCATCACCTACGAGGGCCTCACCATTGAAAAGGGTGTGGGAGTGATTGCCAGTGTCTGGACTATTCATCATGACGAGGAATACTGGAACAATCCCGAGAAGTTTGATCCCGAGAGGTAATGCCTCCTCAATTTGTGTCACTAATAGTCACACAACTGTTTTACAAACTATCCAACTATGTTACAACCTGTCACCCACCTGTCGTATTCATCTGTCAATAGGCAACCACAACTTGTCACAAGTTATCACGACGTGTCACAACCTGTCCGAACCTATCTTTACAATCCGTGAAAGGCAGACACAATTTGTCCGAAGCATCTATAACAAGTCTGAGCGTGTTACAATCACAACTTGTCACAACTAACCATATCGCTGTGCGGGATATCCTGTCAAGGATTGTTTCACGGTATTCTACAGATACATCCTGTCACATCCTGTCACAGCCTGTCACAGAATGAGACAGCCAGTCATAACCCTTGTCATTCCAACCTGCCAACACTTATTACAGACTGTGACAACTTGTAACTGATGAACAACGTCAAGTTGTTTTACTTTTCATCTCTAGTGTTATAATTTGTACTACATTCATTAATTTTAACATATAAGATTGCAATCTTGATGATTTTTATTTACTTCTACCTAGGTTTTCTTCGGCCAAAAGATACTCTAATCCCACGTACTTTATTTCCTTTGCCCGTTGGCTGATAATATAACATTCAAATTTAAAGGTCAAACAGATGTCACTTCTTTTCCACAATTTTACATCTCATTGTTTCAGATTCAGCCCTGAGAACAAGGCCTCATCAAACCGTGCACTTTCCTACCGTTTGGCTTCGGTCCTCGTAACTGCATCGGTATGCGCTTTGCCTTGCTGGAAGCCAAGATGGCGCTGGTCCGTGTGATGCAGCAGTATCGCTTCGATGTGTGCTCAGAAACCGAGGTAGTTCGGTTACCAGACCACAATACGACATGTTATACCATGAAAAAAGTCAGATACCTGGAGAAATATTCTTTTTACCCGGTGGGTTTTTTTTCAGAAGGGGGATGTTCTTGTAGACTAAGCGAACCCTAACTGAGAAGGGTAATCTGTTCAGAGGGGAAATATTAAATTAGGCTGTCTGCGTCGGCATTCTAGTATACCTTTAACTAAATACCTTTATTATGATATCTTTTCATTTTTCTTCAGATCCCACCAACTGTTGGCAAGGCAGGTCTCATGTCACCCAAGAATATAAATCTGAAGGCCATTCCAAGGAACTAACCGTCCAACTCATAATTTTTGCAACCACACCTAGACTCCTGTGCCTATTTCATCTGAGTCTGAGACATAGCCGGGTTTTTTTTTTACGATTATTAGTATTATTTTAATCTTAGACTAGTTTTGACCAATTAAGGAAATTGTTTACCCATGTCATGTTGCATTTAACGTGTACCCTTATTGTTTGATGATATATCTTTCCGAGTATTCTTATTTTTTTTTGCTGTGAAAAAAAATAAGTATCCTTGACATTGACAATGTGAGACATTACTATCGTTGTGTGGTGCTTTTCCACATCACGATTACTAATTAAGTAAAGGATGAATTAGCTTGGTGTTGCTATCACTTCCTGACTGGTCGCCATTCCTCTTTTCGATGTTGGGCTTGTACAGAGTAGAGCGATCGGGAACCAGTTTTTATTCGTTCTTGTTGTTAGGCTGCGCAGTCCTTTTAATTCACATTATGCGAAGCCTATACCAGATATCTCGCACTTCTAGTTTGGTACGTAATTCACTCTTCATCAAGACTGCTTTGAACAAGCCGCTTGTTTAATTTTTACCGTTTTGTACCGTATACAATAGCTGATGTTTAGTTTATGTCAAAGGAATTTTAATTCCAAAATGTGAAATTTAATTACAAGTAAATCTAATGTCAATCTAATAAATTCATAGATCATTAGCTTTGCAGCCATTCTTGGGGTGTGCATGGGTAGACCTTTATGCATTCATTAAAAACTACACAAAATGCCTCAAACATGGCTACTTGATGCTAAGGGTCTATAGTGCGTTTTGTGTCCAAATACAAATAATACACGTACTAATCTCGGTGTCACACAAAGAGTGCGTTCGATTACTTCCCCGCGCTTACTCGTGCAAGCGCGACAGCGTTCGATTTACCTCTCACGTGACTTCTCGCGTTTTCTCGAGCCTGGCCCAAGTAACCGACTCGCCGAGCCGGTTACTTGGGTAAGTATCCCATAAGGCCATGCAATAATCATGGCTGCCAACGTGACGTCCGGCGGGCGCCTCATCAGTGTCATGTCAAAGTTCAACTTTCCAGCTCTTGCACGAACTTTACCCGAAACCATTCGTTTATTTAGCTCCACTGCGCATGTCTGTCATCACGAGAGGAGCCAGGCGCGATTAAGCTGGGGGAAGTAATCGAACGCACTCCCTGTACAGTAAACATTACATCATGAAATCGAGGTCAATGTCTAATATAGCTAATCTTGATTAGATTATTATTAAAAGGCTAAATTTTGGGCAGGTTTACATAAAAAAAAAAACATTTTTAAAAATAGACAGAGGTAAAAACTGTATGCATTACAATATAAATAATTACATAACTACCGGTAAAACATCACAATGAGAGTTTAAAAATAATGCAAAGATGAACATCTTTGGAAGAAATCAAAGTTGAAATGTCTCAGAGTGCTTTCAATGAAAAATGTGTCCGATGGACTATGCTTCTTTTGGATGTTTTATAAAAGAGACTTTCCTTAGAATAAACTTTTGACGCAACTTTGACACTTGTGTTAGACAAATATCTTGACGTAATTTGACGAAATGTCAATTCAATTTATCAAAGGAATAATATCAAGCAATCTACAGCCTAATAAAATGCAAATTATCACGATAAATTGGATGTGAATTAGTGTTATTATTAATAAGCAACATTCAAGTTTGATATGTAGAACAATTCAGGAAATGGAACAAATGGGATGCAAACGTTCACCCAAGGCAAAAACAACAATTCTATCTACCTGGTGAAATGGTGTTAAACAATATTATACTACTATCAATTACTGGAATGTTACTTGAGAGCATCGATCATTTAACGAGACTATACACACGACTACAAAACGAAGTACAATAAAGCAAATTAATCTAAATAGTTAAGAAATAGTATGTAATGAAATTGTAAAGAATTCAAATTTAATATGTGAAAAAAATTAAGCAAGATTACACCACACTGTCTAAATATGGTTTAACAAAATGATTACATCTTACTGAAATAACGTGTAATTCCTCAAAATTTGCCTACTATCATTTCATACAGTTTTCATATTCACATTAAAACTACAGGTCATATCAGTTTCCAAACCGATGATTCAGACGATTTGAGAATTCAGTTCTATCAAGGCATTTACAAGCGTTGGTACATAACTTTGACACAAATGATTATCTTAGACCCATGCAACATAACCTTCATTTTGATTTCAAACACCGACTATTAAAGGAGATTTCGTGATATATTGACCTAATTAGACCCATTTAAAACCCTATATTTCAGATGACATTCGACAAAGGTTTAATTGTACTTAATCACAAAAGTTAATTGTATAGGTTTTCCGGCCAAGTTAGCAGATTTGGCGGCCAAATTGGCAACCAATCACCCATTTTCGCACAAATTTGAATGCACGTTGAGATTAACATTCAATTACTTAAAAACACCACTCAATTTCCCATTAGGAGCATGCGATTTTACATTTTAATCATGCCATTTCAAAAATAGGACATTCAAATTAAAATTGCACAAACGAGCATGCAAATTCGCCGGAGCTTCAAGCTTTGTAAGTTTGGTCATTCGAATTACATTAAGCAAGCATATGTGAAAAGTAAGCAAAGTAATTCGAAATAGGTCCTTGTCGTTCCGTTGTTTGTTAAGTGGAGTGTTTTTGTTACAAGACTCTGTCTTGTCTTCCACAAGAATCTGCCACTACTCTGATCACCATGCAAACTGTTAGATTGAAGCACTAGAAATATCAATATGCCAGCTCATGGGCGTTACATGAAAATGTCAAATGTAGACCGTGGTCATCATCAAAGTTTTCGATGGCAATGCCCAAGACTATCTTGAACGCGTGCAGACAATCTTGGCATAAACAGATCTACTGCTGCAGGTCAATTGTAGCCACGTATCTGAGACCTGGCAGACGGGAAATCCTGCCAAGAGGAGGGGCCAGAAACACAAAAATGGACCACGACATGAAGCAGAAATAATCAAAAGGTGAAAGAAATGAAAAGACTCGCATCGTATACCTAATTTGTTGACTTTCATTTTGAATGCAAAACGAAAACAAGGATCTCGTGCAAATAACCCTAAACCAACCGCCAGCTGAATTGAATGATCACTTAAACCTAACGACATAACTTCACTTTAGGATGTGTAAAACATGAAAATGTAAGGTCTTAAAACGAATTTGAACGCCTGAAATCTAATACGAACCACCGGAATGACAGCAGGGCGCTACTTCGCTTCAAATTGGCCATTATCAAGATGAATTCAAATGCTATTTTTGCGAAATTGGCCGGGAAAACCTATACTTAACTGTCTTTAAACATATACGGGAAGGGGTGTACCCATGTTTTGGCGATTAGGGGCATGAATAGAAAGTGGAGGGGGAAAAAACCAAACAGAAAGTGATGCTTCGAAAATCAGAAGAAAAAAACACGAGCAGGTGCTTTTACTGATCTAGTTTCTCGGCAGGATGTTTAACATCAGCTTCTTGGGAGCAATAAGTCCAGTCTTGCTAAGCGGAACCGGAATCTGAAGAAAAATAATTCACAGTGATAATCACATTAGACTTTACAAGGGGTACATACCTAAATTCCCCAATACCTATGTTTCCCAATACCGATGTTCCCCGAAATCCTTACCCTAATCCTAACCTTAACCCTAACCCTAACCCTAACCCTAAGGATTTCGGGGAACATCGGTATTGGGGAACATAGGTATTGGGGAGCATCGGGTAGACCCCCTTTATAAGACCTTGGCGCTATCGTCTGGTTGATAGTTATCTTCAACCATATCATGCCTGCCAAAGCAAGGCAGACTTTTGAGCGAGTACATTCCGTGATTTAGCAACCGAAAGGTATAACGAAACTACTTATGAATCTCTGTTTTCTTCTCTCGCTGTATGTATCCCTCCAGAGTAGGCAAGACAACATTTGTGTTGTTTTTTTCTACATCCAAGTAAAGTCTCTGAGCTCAACGCACATGCGTAAAGCATATCACTTGATTTAATTGTATTCATCTGGCATTACCTCGGTTTCAGAGCAGACATCGACACGATACTGCTGCAGCATACGGACCAGCGCCATCTTGCCTTCCAGCAAGGCAAAGCGCATGCCGAAGCAGATTCTTGGACCGAAGCCAAACGGCAGGTAGGTGTACGGTTTGATGGAGGCCTTGTTCTCAGGGCTGAACCTAAAATGGCAACCCAAACAATTAAATCAAATTTCAAATAATCCCATCATTTATACTCTCAGGTATTCCATGATTAAATCTTGGGAAACCTTTTAAATGTAAAGGTATATCCAGTGTGCACTGCAATTAGCCAGCAAACAGAAACTAACATATCCGGTAAATGCTCCTTGACACATGTGAACTTTGCACCACTATTTCAATATTGTGACCAATCTTCTGACCGTTGAGTATATGCGAATATCTCTCTATCGCGAATCTGAAATTTGAACGCGTTCCTGAAATATTCATTCACTTCTGAAAATCAGTCCTTCGTTTTCGTCTGAATTTGTCTTGAATCCCATTTCAATTCAACGAAAGTTTAACCGTTTTCATTGTCTGTGCATTCGGTTTTGAGAAACAAACGGCCATTTAAGTTACCCGTGCATTATACGCAAGCATACCTTTTCTAAATTGATTTCAGGCACAGCTAATTTGATTGACGGTTAATGAAAAAGAAACCCGTCATTGTATCTGGTGCCAATGGCATTAAACTCAAATTGAAATAGAATGGTGAATGTTTGAAATAGCCCTCTAAAAAGCGAAAAAGAAGTCCTGTAAACGAATCTTAATGGACATAAACGAAAGGTGCTGCTCAATCACTTAATTGATTGAACTGAAATGGAATCGAATGTTTTGGTATAGCGAAAAAGAAACGTGCGTTCAAAACGATTCTCAAATTCAGTCGAAAATGAATCACCGATTTTCAGAAGTGATCATATGAACATTGTAGGAAATTGGCCGGGAAAACCTATACC